AAAGAAGATTTGGCTGCTATTAAACAAAAGGTAAAGAAGGGCCTACTAGCCTTTTATTTCAAAGATATTACTCATGGGCAAGTTGTTATCATGAGGGCTATTTAGAATTCAATTCTACAAAATGCCAGGTTCTTAAAAGCCAGGTGGAATTGTTAGGTTAGAGTCAGGAATGAAGGGTTAGATGCTTACCATAATAGCATTTACAATATCATTACTGTTGTTCTTCAGGGCTCGGACCGCCTTTGCTCTCGACACATTTGCTTGTGACATGACTAACTCTATATCCTTAACTTCAACACCTGTTTCATCAACCTAAAAAGGAGATGAGCAAAAAAGACTTCAATAGTTCTCTAGAGCTAAGACTCTTAAATCTAGTTCTGACCATAACTCAAAACCACTTAAACAAGTGGAGTTTGAGAGTCAAAACAATATAGAAACCCTTTCATCAACCTAAATAATATTACCACACAGAAAAGATTAAAAGAAAATTATTTCCTGGTATACCTCTTCCTCTTCACTCTCCTCTTGAACAGTTGGAGTTTGTGTGTTTTCTTGAATGTTTGAAACAGCTTCACCCTGAACTTTGAATTTCTCAGCAGCTGCTAGCTGTGCTTGCTGAGATAAGTCCTCAATCTATAGGAAACAGAATACAGATTTCAAGTGAGATTAGCCTGTGGCAAAGGAAAAGACTTTCTCAACCCACTCTAAGCTGAAATGGTCCATCTCCCCTTATCATGTGGCTCATCTTCACTTATCATGTATCACTGTAGAAAGGTGTGCAGGTTTGCAATAGTTCTTAACTAATGTAATTTTGCCTCTGAGGAGACATCTATGAACATATATGGAGATAAGTGAGTTACAGGTCTGAATCCACTGGCTGCTTCCATGGGAGAAAGGGGAGACACTTTGTTCCTATTAAAACAGCCTTAGGAACCTGATGGTGGCTTGACTAAGTTTGAATTCACTTACTTAACAGGGTGTTGGCTTTTGGATTTTGAGAGTGCAATCCTGGCAATGCCAACCTTGTTTTAGAGTAAGTATTAAGAAAACTTTACTTACCTTGGCTTCACCAAAAACTATGTAGGTATCTGAAGCCGGGCTTTTATAAACATCTGGTTTTGTGATGACAAAGAGGATATTCTTAGATTTCCGGATAGTGACTCTAGTAACCCCTGTGACTTGTCGAAGTCCCAGTTTGGACATCGCCTTAAAGAACAGAAAAAGCAAAAGGCTTTCAACTTTGTTAGTAGAAGTTTTCTATACTGTTCCTACACAATAGCACAGAATCTCCAACAAAGTCTTTTTCTGGACGAAGGAAGTTTTAGATAAGAACAGAGAACTGGCTTTCCAGGATTCTCAGGATCGCTGCTATAGTAACTGCACTAGTATCAAGAGTTCCACTGCTGGTATTATACCAACAAATTGCTTTATCAAAACCCTTAATGCTTGTTTATAACAGAAAATCTTACCTTCCTAGCCTTCTTTTCACTCCGACTTTGTTTTGCTTTACTGACTGGTTCTTCATCGATTTCAGCTGCTGCTGCCAGCTGAAAGAGGAATGCAGCTATGAGTAAATGGAACCTAAGACTTGGATACCATGACCCCATATGGTGGTTTCTATTTAATAAGAATTAATTTCAAATACAGACAAGTCCTTTGGTTAAAAACATCCAACTTATGGACATGTGTCCCTGCCTTTTAATGTATAGAGACTGTATATAAAGCAGAATGAAACACTGCCTCATCTATACCATCCTTATAATCTTTGCTTAAGCCAATTGATGTAGCCAGTATTAATTTATTTTACTGAGAGCCTACCTTCTTCACTTAGGGACTTTTCCAAATTACTGAGTAGTGATGTCAGTTTGAGGACTAAGGTGTGTGTGATTCAGGCCATGATCTTTCCAATTACTAGCTATGCATTTGAGACCTGGACAATAAAGAAGGATGACAGAAAAATAATTGATGCCTTTGAGTTGTGGTATTGGAAAAGAGCACTGAACATTCCATGGATGGCCAAGAAAACGAATAGATGGGTCTTGGAGAGGGTGCAGCCAGAGTGCTCTTTGGAAGCAAGAATGAGGCAGCTTTGCCTAACATACTTTGGACATATTGCTAGAAGTGGCTATTCCGTGGAGAAGGACATGATGTTGGGAAGGGTGGAGGGTCAGTGAAGGAGAGGAAGACCTTCAACCAGGAAGACTGACAAGGTGACTGCTGCAATGGGTTCTTGTGCGTCAGGAAGTGTGACGGCGCAGAACAGGACCGGTTTCAGATCTTTTGTTCATAGGGCTGCTATGAGTTGTACTCAATTCAATGGCACCTAACAAAAACAACTACCACCTTCTTCACTGTCTACTATTACCATTCTGCTAGGGCTGTCCAGTCCTGGTTGCATGCCAAAGTGTGAGAATAAGTCTCATAATCCTAGGTAAGAAACTTTTTTATCACCATCAACCTCATGTGCAGACATTGAACCTTTTCTTGTACTAACCAACCCACCACTAGCAAGCAGATTCTAACTCAGAGAACCTACAGGATAAAACTATATATAGGGTTTCTGAGGTGTTACCCTAATCTTTTGGGGTCAGAAGTGGGATTTGTTGTTTCAGACTCACGGACCCATGGTGTGATTTTGTGACTGTGGGGCTTGGGAAGATGTACAGTTAATAGGGTTATTGTTTAATTTCTACGAAGTGTGAGAGAAAACCTAAAAGGTTACTTTTGCTGGTACTAAGGTGATAAAGATGAATAATCAGAATTTCTCTTAAAGGTTTTTATGCATGATGCTTTCCCTTTTATATGTCATAATGTTATGCTGAGATATATAATAAAAATGATTAAGGGTTTTGTTAATTTAATGATATTAAAAAGATAATTAAAGTTTCTGATTGGGACACACTGTAATTAGAGGAAAAATGTAAGCAAGTTGGGATAGTAATTGAGTATTCAAAAAGGGAATTAATCTACCCTAAAAGAATACTTATAGTAGTAGAATTTGACAAGAGTGTGGAGCTTGGTCTAAGAAAGATTAAATTCCATCCAATACTCTCAGGAGAGTTACATGTGAAGGCAGACAAGCAGAAAAAAACTTCACAATAAACTGAGGCAAAGAAAAGTTAATGGTTATTCATTAATGATTATTAATGGCTGACCACCTAGATTTACTTGATAGAGAAGGAGGAAGCTTCAGAACTCCTTTTCCAGGACTTTAAAATTAAAGGAAACTGGCAAGTATGCTCAACTCATAGTAACCACTTGGCTCCAAATGATGAGTGGAAGTAGGAGATACACAGTAACGAAGAGACAGGCTGAATTTGGACTTGTTCCTTCAGCACTGTACACCTAGCATGATGAATGCATAAATGAAGAAGGGCTACTGGTTTGTGGAGCAGGAAGTCCTGGGAATCCTTGATGTGCTAATATGGTCCATGTGGGGCTAAAGTTGAGAAAAGGCACTAGCCGATCTAAAACATAGGAAGATGTCTTGATTGCTGTGATTGATAGTTTGCTCTGCATCGGACATCTGTTTATAAATATGGATTCATATGTAACATAAGATGCTTCTGGGGGGAGGGGGGAAAGACATGCTACTGCTTCCTCCCACAGAGTGGCTGATAGGTACAGACTGTGAGCACATCAGGGTGTTTTAACCATGGTACCAAGACCAGACTCTTGAACCAAATCAAACCACAACTGTAGAATATATTTTGATGTAGTGCCCCATCTTTCTCTGAGCCTGGTTAGCAGGTTCAAATGTCTGACCTTTTAGTGAGCAGCCCAATGAGTAAGCCACAGTGATCCTAGCCCCACTTTCCTACAAATGGGACTTAAAAGATATACTCAGGAATGGATCTTATTCATGACTCAAGAAGCGCTGTAAAGTTCAGCTTCTCTTATCAATCCCTGAGGCCAGTGCTTACTCTACCAGTTTATAAAAGGATACTAACCTGCGCTTGTTGTGTGGTTGCCTGTGTGGAATCCTGTTCCTCAAGCTCTGGTACTGATTCATCACTGTCGGATTCTGTTCCTGACCCTAAGAAGAAAAGCAACTTCTATTACTTAATAGCAGAGACCACAGGGAGGAGGTACCACACCTCGCCTACCTGGACTGGAGATCAAGACATCATGAAGTTCAATGTAAACAAACTCATTTGTGTAAAGCAGCTCAAAAGATCCCAACTTAGAAGCCAGTGTGTACACATCTATTAAGACCTAGCCCCAGAAATGAAGTGCATTAACTAAATATAACTGAGCAGGATCTTTACTTCTTGGAATAAGCAGAAACAATGACACATTTAACTCCAAATGTTACCCAATATTCCCAGAAAAGTTCTGCTAGATGTCTCTAAGATACATATGTGAGAAAACAAAACAAAAACCAAAACACAATGTGGAGATAGGTCAGAAGCAGTTGTGTACACACACTCAGCCTTTAGCACCATTTACACTAGCAATTTGACTTCATCATCAATGTAACTTAAAAAGGTTCTCAATGATATCAATCTGTAACTTGAATCATCATCTTTTCCACTAGATACTGTTGTCTAACTTCCCCACTTTCTCCAAATAGAATTCTGATATTTTAAGTTTCTCTCAGCTGAAAGACTAAGCATTAACAAAGAGTACTGAGGGTGGAAGCATACACCGGCACCATTCCCAAGCTAGGTAAAACAAGTCTCTACATTTTTAAGGAAAGGGAGTCCCTGGACAACTGGTCATTACTAATGCTAGAAGAAAAAAGTTCATGTTGATTCAGGTTCCCCAATAACTTAGCAAATCCCAGGCCCAGGGACAAGGTTAGTGATGTGGTAAAGATTAGAGCAAAGTAAAGATCTTTTAGATCTTGGTTTTCAATGTCAGATTATTTAGGTAAAAAAGGCAAGCTGGCTCAGGATTCAGTCTGGTGACTATAGTCACAATGAGGACACACAATCTGAGGTTATGAAAACCAAGACTTTTCATATTCCTAAAATGTTTACAAGCTATCATTCTAAATTCTAAACAGATACACTGGAGAAAGCGCACCCTAGGGTTAGTATTGGTGGGTAGCCCCCAAGAGGGGTGTGGGCAACACACCATGCACACAGCAAACCAAGGCAAATACCCTTGTTGTTCTTCAGAACAGGTTGCTTGGCAGAGGGGGGTGGGGCAGGGATCCCAGTAGATTTAGGGGTGGGCATGTTGACCAGGACCGGCTGGAAAGGCACGCCCCCAGAGATTGGTTCCGGGGGAATCAGAGGCGGCAGCTCATCCTCATCAGAAGGGGCTGGAGGCTTATGGGGTGATTCCAGCACTAGACCAGGTGAGGACGGCAGAAACGGCTGTTTAGGAAGCAGAGGGGGAACTAGGGAGGGAGCAAGAGGCAGAGAGACTGGTGGGGTAGGTGCTGAAGAGACAGATGCTGATCCAGTTTGAGGAAGGACCTTTTCAGAAGTAGCCACTGCTAGAGGGGTAGATGCTTTATGCTCAGAAGCCAAGGGGACCTTTGGCGCATGAACAGAATCTTTGCCTTTCATGGGAGAAACTGGGAGAGTGTTGGGAGTCTTTGTAGAAGAGCCTTTCTGATTGGAGCCCTTCAGTAGAGGGGTTGGAGTTACTTCAGGAAGTGACTCTTTAGTATCAGGTTTAGCAGAGGAATCTGAGCATACTGAAGGTGAAGGAGTGGGACCCTTCTTGGCTGATGGACCTTTCCGAGTAGGTGTGACGAGTGATGTACTTTCTGCAGAGGGGGCAATTATTTCTTTGAAAGCTACATGGCCTTTCTTTGTTGAGAGTTCTTTAGATGCTTTAGGTGCAATGACTTCCAAGGGACAGGTGACTGAAGTTGGAAGACTTTTGGTGGACAGGCTTGTTGGAGTCTCTTTAGAAGAGGGAGGAGTCACAGGTGGAGCAATGGGACCACCCTTTGCAGAGGGAAGAGTTATAGGTGAGTTAGTGGGCTCTCCTTTGGGGGATGGAGCTGCTGGAGCCTCTTTGGAAGAGGGAAAAGCCACAGGTGGGGTAGTAGGGCCACTTTGGGGGGATGGTGCTGCTGAGGCCTCTTGAGAAGAGGAAGGAGTAACATATGGGGCACTGAGGTCCCCCTTAGGGGATGGTGATGATAATACTCCTTTGGAAGAGGGAGGAGCCACAGGTAGAACAATGTGAGCCTTCTTGGAGGATGATGCTCCTGGGGCCTCTTTGGCAGAGAGAATAGCTACAGGTTGGGCAGTGGGACCCACTTTGGAGGGTGCTGCTGCTAGGGCCTCTCTGGAAGAGGGAAGAGCCACAGATGGGGTAGTAGGGCAACTTTTGGAGGATGGTGCTGCTGGGGCCTCTTTGACAGCAGGAGTCACAGGTGGGGGAGTTGGTTTCCCCTTGGGGGATGGTGCTGCAGGGGTGCCTTTGGAAGAGGGAGGAGTCACAGGTGGGGGAGCAGATCTCCCCTTGAGGGATGCTGCTACTGGAGCCTCTTTTGAAGAGGAAGGAACTACAACAGGAGTAGAACTTTTTTGGGGGGATGGTGCTTCTGGTGCCTCTTTGGTAGAAAGAGCAGTCACAGGTTGGGAAGTGGGTTTTCCCTTGGAGGATGGAGCTGCAGGGATCCCTTTGGAAGAGGGAGGAACCACAACTGAAGGAGTAGGGCTCTTTTTTTGGGGTGGTGCTCCAGGTGTCTCTTTGGAAGTAAAGGTCACAGGTGGGATAACAGGGTTGTTAGGGGGTGGTGTTGATGGGGCCTCTTTGGAAGAGGGAGGAACCACACCTGAAAGAGTTGATTTCTTTTTGTGGAGTGGGGCTTTTGGGGCCTCTTTGACAGAGGAAGGAGTCACAGGTGGGGCACTGGGGCCCTCTTTGGAAGGAGAGGTCACTGTTGGAGCACTGGGGACCCCCTTGGCAGAGGGAGGAGTCACAGGTGGGGAAGTAGGACCCCCTTTGGGGGATGGTGCTGCTGGGGCATCTTTGGAAGGAGAGGTCACTGATGGGGCCCTGGGGGCCCCCTTGGGGGATGGTGCTGCTGGGGCAACTTTGGAAGGAGAGGCCACATGTGGGGCACTGGAGCCCCCCTTGGGAGATGGTACTGCTGGGGTGCCTTTGGCAGAGGGAGGAGTCACAGGTGGGGCACTGGGGCCCCCTTTGGGGGATGGTGCTGGTGGGGCATCTTTGGAAGGAGAGGTCACAGGTGGGGCACTGGGGCCCCCTTT